GTATACGATTACCAATCCCCGAGGAACTCCGCGCCGTTCGACAATCGAGCTCGCCGTCATTTATCGAAAATTGGCTCGGCAGATACGAGCTGGTCGGATTACTCCTCCGACTACACACGCCCACACGTGTGCCACGCGCGCGCGCACACGCGGGTACACGCGCGCGTAAACGCGAATGCATAAGCGAGTATCACGTGTGCGCGTGCATTTCCAAGCACGTACCTGCCGCCTACATTTCGGCGCGTGTACACACGTGAATATCTCCCACGCTCGCTCCCTCGCAAATCGACACACACACACACACACACGTAGATTTCGATTTCGCTCGACCTCCGTGATACGAATTTTCAACCGATGTATAGCAGCCGCGTAGTCGTACGCATTCAACGACAACACATTCATCCGTACATATGCCGCACAGACACTCGTTTCTCGCAAATTCCCGCATGTACATGACGCATGTACATATTTCCATGCGCGCCAGGTGTACATACGTACGTACTCTCACGTGCTGCATTCACTCCTCTTTCGCGTGATTAACAGGCACACGTAATGCACGCCCGAAAGATATTTTCGGAGCATCTCGAAGCTATACATAGCCCTGCGCGAACATCGCGCAATAAAATAATTACAACGAAAACAAACCGCAAAAATTCGTACCTGTTACAAAATTGTACAAGCTCGCATATTAATTGGCCGATATCATTATGGCAGTGAGCCGCGTACAAGCAAGAGAGCGATTGCATTGTACCTTGTTAGGATTGAAAAAATGTTCAGAAAAAATAAACTTGCATATTAGTCAGAAAATAATAATTGCACTCGTTGGTAGACGAGTGCAAAGTCCAGTGAAATTGCGTCGTCGATTATTAAATATGAATAAAAGTGACAAGTGAACTGTATTAGAGATCAAGTTGAACTGGAAAATGAACAACAATTAGAGATTCATATGTGTTCTAACACCTTGTCACCTTGAAACTTCCTGAATAAACGTATGTACGTACGACAGTTAGCTTTTACGAGGCACCTTTTGGAGCGTAGAGCCGTTTATATATCGACGACTGCGATACTTATCGATTAGAACACGCGGGGTCGCCGATTTAAATTTAAAATACCATAGGCGACTACAAAATATCGTATATTATATCAAAAGTATATATTTGTCCTGCGTCAAATATGCACAGCTACATATACAAATGTTTATTTATTAACAATAATTGCAAACAATTTTTCGACGCAGACTCTTTTCAAGACGCGGCGTTTTTTGGAAAAGTACGTACTTCGTATTCTTTCCCTTTACTTTCCTTCGCACACATAAATTCTGTATGTATGAAGTTATGCACACAAGATGCGCCAGAAAATGTATAGCAATACTTTGAGACGAGATTATTTCGTTGAAATGGAGAAAACAATTCTTGTCAAGTTGAAATCCAAATGTAATTATCAAATAATAATTCCGCCCGTGTTGTATTTAACAACAACAAGTAAACAAAAGAGGCCAATTTTTGCGAGCATAAAAGTTGACAGTGCAATATATATTTTTAAAAATTCAAAGATGTTACAATTGAAATATTAGATAGCGACGCGGCTCGACACGCAGTGCTTTCATCGGCGCAGAATTAAAATTAAATAGTTAACTCGCCCAGTGCATAATTGTCAGCAAGTAATAGAATACAATTATCAAGTTACGTAACATTAAACAGTTTTAAGCCACGTGCGTGTAACAAGCAGTTTGGCGTCGTTAAATTTTACATTGATTTAATTTTGATTCTGGCAACCGATTATCGGAACGCTTCAATTTGAAAGAACCCGACAAAGAATGGCTTGGAATTAACGAAATTAAAGGGAAAAACCCCTTAAAATCCCGTGGACGTACACGGTTTTAAATTGCATTAAAACGCAGACTTCTCAGGCTTATCGACTTGAGAGATTTATTCTTTTCCACTCCCAATCCGTTTTATTTTATTTTTGTAGCGCTCCTCCTGAATAACTTAATCTTCGGCTGCGCGATTCAGTTTCAAATGAATCGAGGAACTCGCCCCCTCGCGAAACGTCTGTGCCAAAAATTCGATAAAGAAACACCGTCCCGTCGATTACGCAGGCTCCCCAGGGTGCCTCGTCACACGGGGTTACGCACACAAGCGCGACCCCCTCCCTTCCCCCCTTCCCCGTGCACGTGTACACGTGCTCAATGGGCGGTGTAGCCCACGGTGCACGCACGGCCTCGCGTATACGCACATACGCAGACTCGCTCTCTCCCTCACCGCGCGGAGCGGAGCGGAGCGCGCGCACGCACCGTGTACTCCGCGAGGAGTATTCTACTCTCGCGAGTGGTCGCCCGCGCCTCGCGGCACAGTCGGCGTGCGTCCACGCTCGTCGCGCGTTACCGCCGCGTTTGCGCGCCGTCCTCACGCTCGCGCGCGTGCATCGCGCACATACGTGTGTACGCGCGTCCCGTCGCCCCGCGGTGTCCGCCGTGTACGTGCGTGTTGCATACGCGGCTCCCCCCGACGAGGCTGTTATTTATTAGATCAGAGGAAGCCAGTTCGCAGTGACGTACACGGAGTGCCGGCTGTCGGTGACACGCGCGGACAGTGAGCACCGCGGCTTCGCGCGACGCAAGGAAGCGAGAGAACGCGCGCCGAAACTCCTCTTCCCGCGTACCCTCGGCCAGCGTCCACGCTCGTACGCGCTCACCCCTTCCGCTCGCGGGAAGCGTTCGAGGGAGACCGGAAGCGTGCGACGACGTCGTCTCGTTTGGATAACGGAAGTTGGAGAACGTCGTCCCCTCGCGCTTGTCGCTAGACACCGATGCGCTGGGAAGAAAAGCTGTGACTTAGTTGGCAAATGTATATGCATTTCTTCGAACTCGCGCCGTTTATCGAAACACATATTTTTTCTTTTTGCGTTAATTAAGTATTTTTGCGAATTAACAAACGTTTGCTCGGCAGCCCGTGACCAGCCGAAGCGTGAGAGGTGTCTCTTCGACGCTTCGTTTCTCTCAGTGCGCGAACAACCGGTGCGGATGTCGGGCCCGGCGTTTTACGCGCGCGTAAAAAAAAAAAACGATCGGCGTAATCGCTCTTGGCGGGTTTCGCGCGTCACGATCGATAAATATGAAAACGCCGCGGGGGCAATTCTCCTCTTGCATTTAATTAGAAATTCCGCGGATAAAGTCGCGCTCAAGTTTTATGCAAATTGTCGATACACGCTCGGTTACGTAAGGCTTCTCGGGCTGCGCCCCGTGAAAACTCGAGCGCGCAGTATTTCGTACAAATATTAGATATTCCCAGTTGTAGAAAAAAAAACGGGGGGGAGGAATTGATTCGCAGGGCGTTGGGAAATTTCAAACGGGCTTCCGCACACACACACACACACACACACACACACACACACACACACACACACACACACACACACAGGCTCCCGCAACCGGAGAAATATCAGAGTTCGACCGGGTTCATGCCTCGCGTTTCAGACCCCGCGTTCCTTTTGTTAAATATGTACCGGGCAGACGTAATACAGCGGCGAGGTACGAAAACACGATTTCACGTATCGATAATGGATACGACGGTGATCCAAGCCGTAGCCGAGAAAAATGTCGGGATATTTTCCGTCGAGATATCATAGCTCGAGCGGGAGATTTTCCGCTAAAAGCAAACACAGCGGTGGGTCCGTCGCGTTTCCGCTACGGGGATTTTATACTGCGTTCACATGTGCGCGCGGTATCGTATCGAAAATGCGCGCCGCGTACCGCATCGGGAATATCGCTCCGACACACGCGAACAATAAGCCCATCCATATTATCATCCGTTATACAATCCCCTCTCATTTCAATTGCACGAGACACGTCGCGGCGGGAGAGACCGTGACGTACAATTTTTATCCTTTTAATTGCACTTGTATCTTTCGCAAAGCGCCAAAGAGGATGAAGGGACCCGGGGAAATATTTAAATCCCTCGCGTGCTATTACCGCTCGTATTAATTGTGTCAATATTAATCTTGCGTTTCGTACAAATGTTACCCTTGTCGAGCCAATTAACGGAGATAATCGTACCGTTCCGCTTCTTATCGCAAACCGTCTGTGTCAGTATTCATTTCTAATCGAACCTAATATTTTCATCGGAAAAGTCCTCTATTACGGGACGGGCTTCTAATGTGAGACAGCAGGTTTGCAGCATCAAAATTTTATCACAAATCTTTATTCGCAACGAACCCACGATCCAACAATGAATCTCGCGCTAAACAATTTCACTTCAACGGCAACAAATTCACGACGAAACCCATAGACGACGACTGTTAATTTAGCAGAAACCCTGCTATCTCATATTAGGAGCTTATCTCGTAATAGGAGACTTCCCTCTAGTAGCGCGCGAAGGTGTTTTCGTGTCGAATGCGAGCGGCAAAGTTATTTTAATTTCGAGGCAATTAATAATTTCATAAGGATCTGACGTGAAAGCACAGTCGAAGGAATAAAGGTACGAGAGAGCCAAGACGGGATGTTAAATGTCTAAGGCCCGGTTTTTCATTTCCTGGTTAACTGCTAACCAGAAGTTAGTCGACTCTTTTTCTATATTGTTATCTAAGGAGAGACAGTTAATCGGCTAGCGTGCGGCTAACATTGTGCCAGAAAACGAAAAGCCGGGCCTAAATAATTTTTATTCGATTTTCGCACCGCGAGGAGCGATAATTGCAGCGATAAGGGCAATCATTTCTGATTTATATCGCGCGAGTATTCGACAGTATCGGAATGACCTCGGCAATTGGCCAGACTTTTTATACCGCTCGCTAGCGCCGGCCGCTAACAAGCGGATCGCGGCAATTAAGAGAGCCGATCGGACGACAGCGCCGAAGGTCCGCTCGCTGCTCGCGACGGCTTTGTGCCCGGCGGTTTCCTTTGCCGTGCATTAAAACGCTCGGCACGAAGCCGTCGACTGACCGCGCGACCGCGGATTTCGACGGCTTCCGCTCTGTGTAACCTCTGGTTTTCCTGGTTTCTCAAGCGAGTTCGAGGCGCGACGCGAGTCCAGGGGATCCGTCCGCGTTCCGAAGGACCTCGCGATTCCGGCGCAGGATTCCCGCAGGGAGGAGCAAAAGGGGCCGTTATCGCGGCAAGAGGTCGAAGAGGACGCGAGGGAGGCGCGTGATTATGAACAGGCCGCTCCGCGGGAGAAACCCTCGCCGTCGCTGGAGGAAGCGGTTCGCAAGCACGAGGAGGATCTGATCTGCAAGGAGCACTCGCTTGAGTATCAGAGTCAGACGCTCGAGAGCCAGTCGGACCATCTGTTCCACGAGGTGTTCACCACCTCGCTCGACGATCTGCTGACGACAGTGCCCGAAAGTTGGACCCGCCAAGTTTACGAGGAGAGCCTCGACGACGTCGAGCGGAGCTACAAGGAGACGCAGTACTCGCCCAAGGAGAAGCGTGATGTACAGACGCAGACTGTGCAGGAATCGAAGAGCACGCAGTGCAGCCCCGAGCAGAGCGTGACGAGCCCGTGCGAGGAGCCGCCCAGGATCAGCCCCTTCCACATCGGCCAGAGATACTTCCAGAGTCCCAGAAGGGAAGTGCAGACGCAGACTCAGGGCGAGAACAAGAGCGTCCAGTGCTCGTTGGACGATCTGAGCGATCTCGCGAGAGGCGAGGCCGCGGAACAGGAGTCGAAGAGCGTTCAGTGCATCCCGGAGGACATCTCCGCGAGGTCGTCCGACAGGTCGAGGTCCTCCTCCCGCGAGGACGCCCTGCGCAGCCCGCGACGCGAGGTCGAGGTACAGACCTACCAGGAGTCGAAGGCGATCCAATGCAGCGACGACGAGCTGCGAGAGGCTGATCAAGCGAGCGACGATCGCCCGGAGCACGCGCGACTAAGCAGACCAGCCAGCTCGCCCTCGTCGAGCTCGAGTTCGCCGCGCAAGTTCCCGACCGTCGTCTTCGTGGAGGGCAAGGGGGACATGACCGTTACGCACAGGGAGCACGATGGCGACGTCACCTGGTCGAGGCACTGGGGTCCCGAGAGATTGGTGGAGATATATAGAGAGCCGAAGGCCAGCCTAGGGCTCAGCATTGTTGGCGGAAAGGTAAGTTTAACATTTAACAGGCGGCATATTGATCCGACGGTGTACGTATTGTCATTACTTTCTTTTTTTTACGATCCCTTACACAATCTGTCCTCTGGAAAACTCGGTAATTCGTTAGGCAGTTAGACCTTTTCTCCCCCCCAAGACCCGTCGAAGGTCGCTCGCCAAACAACTTGGCAATTGTTCCATTAGAGGATTTATTTCTATCGTTATTACCTGGAAAAGTGAAGAAGAGAAACGCAAATTGAGAAAATTTAAATTAGACATCGAGCTCTTCAACACGTGTCACCCCGTTGTCGATATTTTCTAATTGCGGCATCGCGTCTCTCTCTCTCTCGTTACATCATCTATAATTGCCACGCGCGTATTGATCTAGTTTACAACGCGAGTATACGCGGCCGCGGGATTTATTTTTATAAATTCCCCGAGATTCGATCGACGCGAGAGAGAAGAGATAATCCTGTACGTGAATTATTAGTGCGTTCGCGCGCGTGGCCGTCCGGCCACAATTTTTCGCATTCCTTTTATTAGCGCGCAACGGATATAGCCGCGAGCGGACGAGAGCAGGCCCCGTCGATATCGCCCTTGGGTGCTTTATAGAGCGCTTTTAAAATCGGGAATGCCGCGACGGAGTTGTCGAAACGTACGGACTGGCGGGGGAGTCGAGGTCGAAGTAGGTCGGGCCGAGAGAGCAGACGGCCGCCGGCGTATGGACGTCTCGGCGGATCCCATCTCGCGCCGGATGATCCGTAATTGAATAATTCGGCCCGATAATTAACGTCGGATTTTAACAAGTAATAAACTGTCACGTGCACGCGTCCACGGCGGGGGCGCGAGCGGGCTTAACAGATTCGACCCCGCGCGATCCCGCGAATAAATTCCTGATGCGCGCCACGCGGGTTAAAGGCTTTTTATTGATCGACACCCCGAGCGGCGCGGATCGGGAATGCTAGTTCGACGAATAGAATTTAATCAATTAATTCTTCATCGATGCACACCCGGCCGCCCGTGTCGCCGATACGGGCTGCGCTCGGGGTGTCGGGTCGCATTAGTGCGCGGCCGGCTTGAAGCCGGCGTGATTCTGCACTCTGGTCACCTCTCGCCCCTAGAACTGTCAGTTCGTGAAAACATTTGCGTAATATACAAACGATGTGGCCTTTGCGTACAGACCGGCGGTGTCCCACTATTCAGATTAAGCGAAAGAACCGCATGGCATCACTGAAATTGCGTTTAGGAGCTTAGCGAGAAGTCTATTCGCTCGAATAAGTAATAGGTTACCGATTTTTTGCTAGGCTTCTAGACTCAATTTCAATGATACCACGCTCTCTCTGATTTAGTCCGAGTAGCGGAGCACTGTCGGTTCGTACACGAAATCGACATACTTTGTACGCTACGGAAATGTTTTCACGAATTGACAGTTCCACACGGAAAAAACCAATATAGCCGCTGTAGCTAAAACTTAGCAAAATAGGGACAGCTAATATTTTAGTTGTGATAGCTCAATATTTTGCTACTGTGCCTATTGTATTAGGTGCGACAGCAAACGGTTTGCTGTCGTAGCAAAATATTGAGCTATCACAACTAAAAATATTAGCTGTCCCTATTTTGCTAAGTTTTAGCTGCAGCAGCTACATTGTTCTTTCCGTGGCAGGAGCACGAGGTGCCAAAAGTGCGGAATCACCTCCAGCATCCCCGCGCGGCCGTCTTAGAAGCTCTTGAAAATTGTGTTCTACACAAATTATCGGGACACTGCGCGCATTTCGGCGACCGGTGTAACTCCGTATCCAATTAAGCTGTATAATTATTCGCTACCTCCAGTTACAGAGGGGGGAGTAATTGATTTCGGGAACGGCGGAAGGATTATAATCCCGCCGATAAATAATGTAGCGCGATCGCGCGAAATAGAATACGCTGCTAATTAAGTAGGGATATGTTTGTTTCTCTACTCGCGCGGGGAAGGGTAAGCGCAATCGATTACACGATACGCACGTTGAATTGTGGCGTTAAATAATTGCTTTAATTCGATTAGCGCATGACGATGCGGCAGCAAACCAATGGGAGATTAATGAGAATAAATGAGCGGGGGCGGTTGGAAATCACGGGGGGGGAGGGGGGGTTGGAATCTGTCTCGAACGCGGCCAGTGTGCCTGCGACGTGGTCCCCGCAGTTAACGGAGTTGGGAGCGGAGTCGTGGAGCGACGCTGATGAAATCTAACTGTGATTAAGCTGTGAATTGTCAGCGGCTGAATCGACTAATCACGACTCTGTTGATCCTGCCGTTTAACGGGGCTCGAGCGAGCGGGCATTAAGCGACGATTCTTGCTTCCAGGTCGATCTGCATAACGGCGGGCCCAGCAAGACGCAGAACATTTCCGGGATATTCATAAAGAATGTTCTGCCGAACAGTCCGGCCGGCAGAACCGGCGGTCTCAAGGTAACGCGGTTTCCTCGGAAACGATCCTCTTCACCGTCGCACGCGGAAATTGTGTTTCGCCGCTCGATTCGAGCAACCCTCGCAAAAAGACTTTAATAAAGCCAGGGCTAGAGGAGAGCCACCGCGGTTTTTGCCCCGGTAAAGATTTCACCGCGACCGTAGTCTAACGTTTGCGCGCGCGCGTTTACGGGTTCGAACGCGCGGCCGCCGCTAAATGCGGTCTCGGTCCACGAATTTTGTTTCGCGAAGGTAAATCTACAGAGTTTAATTTCGCGAACTTATAACTGCCGCGTTTATCGCGAGTGTTCTGATTTAAGTTAAGACTCCATAAACTGCGGCAACGAGTCGAAAGATTGCGATTTCAGCGCGGGAAGCTTGGCGGCGAGTTTTCCGATTGGTCCGACCCGCGTTGCTGCACGCGTCGCGCAGCTCGACGCATCTATAAAGTCCTAGCTCGAAGCGGCATTGTCCACGTGTAAAAATTTAATAGTCTGCAATCACCGCGACGTGTATCTCGCACGGACCTTGGCTCGTTCTCAACTTCTTACGCGCGTGCTTTCAGATTGGAGATAGAATAATCGAGGTGGACGGCGTCGACCTGCGGCACAGCACGCACGAGCGTGCGGTGGAAGTTATACAGGCCTCCGGAAATCCTGTCAGCCTCCTCGTCCAGTCCCTGGTGAATTTGGTAAGATCTTGACCGCGATCGAGAATATCGATGCGACCGCTTTTCCCCGAGCCCGAGCCTGTCAGCCTTAATGTCGTTACAAAAGTTTCCCGAACCACGCTGGCTCCTCTTATCGTCCGACTTGTATCTCCCATCGATGTTCTCTACTTTTTCCATTACATTTGACAATTGCGCGCGATATATCGCAACGACGAGACGTGGGTCCGACGGTCCGGGGGAATATTAACTTTCTTCTTCTCCCATCGCGGTCTTCGTGAGGAAAATAATCATGGCCGGCGAACATAAATACTCCTTTTAAAACGCGCTGCCTGTTGGCAAGTCCGTGCTATATTCCTATTGGAAAGAAGCTTTATCCTGGCCCATGAAAAAGAGTCTACATTCCTGAGGGAAATAAATTCACGACGCGCAGCTAAACCCTTTACAGCCGCTGGAATTTACGACATTGCTTTACTTCAGTAACTCGCGTAACGTTTACGTTACACGTCGTTTTATAGTCTGCAACATTTCACGATGTACCTCTTTTTTTTTTTTACTTTAATCTTTGCAAGAAAGCAATTTAAAGTGCAGTTGTCAAGAGAAATGGGGAATTATACCGTTGCATTATATTTTCAGTCAAAGCTCACGGAGATTAATATTAATTAATAGACGACAGTGATATCGCGTCGACCTTTACCGGCCGGATTACCTCGCGATCAAACCTCTCGGAAATTTGTGAAACGTGCGTATTATTAATGTTCCCTCTTAATTAAATATCCTCTTAATTATTTGAAATGCACAAATTTCAACGTCCGCGATCTAATTTCCCACCTTACTGTCCCCGACGGCTCGCGACGAGCATTTCGCCATGTAATCTGAGGATTATTCCGCTCGCGTTTAACGACAATCTACGCGCAAAACGGAAAGTCAGATTTCGCTTCGACCTTCCGGTGGGGGCCGCCATTATAAATCCGCGCACCGCTGAGCTGACTCGATTTGCAAGGCACGAAAGTTTCACCCTCGCAATTAACCCGCGCCCGGACGATCGATTCCGCTAACCGGACGTTACCGGCGTCATCATAGTTCCACGCAGGGCGAAATTGAACTCCGTAATGTCGTTGAATGGCAGCAGCCCTAGGCGCTCCGTCGTATCACGTCGCTCGCCCGGCCCTCCAAAGCATCGCCGATAGACACATTACGCGAAATTGGATGCAGGAGCGACGCTGCGTGACGGTACTTGCGAAATGCCGTGATACACGAGTAGACACGGGGAGGATCCCTCCCCACCCCCGGTTTTGCGTAACGGAAACAACCCTGTCGCGCGGCGACTTTTATTATCCCGCCGTCGCGAGTTTTATCCGACGGTCGCGAATTTTTGCGACCTCGAGGGAATGCGAGATGCGAGTTGGCCTAAGTCCGAATCGTCTTAAATATCTCTTGAAATATTTCATAGCCAGTGAAATGATCCGTACAGCATCCGCGCGGATAATTTTTTTACTAAAAATGCTAAATACTCTTCGAACGTATATTTAGGACAAAGTTAGGTATAAAAATTGACTATAAACTGGCCTTAGTGTGCACTCGGTGCGCGCTAGTGCGAGCGATCGAGTTCGCTATTGCTCTCTAAAAGTCAATCGGTGGATTATCACTGAAAACAGCGAATAGTCACCGATCTGCAGCACTGAAGACCGCAGTGGTATACTTGTAGCTGCAAATCAGTGACTGTTTTCAGCGATAATTCGCTAATCGATTTTTAGAGGGTAAGATCGGATATGCGCGGCTCCGAGGCGACGCTACATGGCGCCGCGGTGCAAATTTAACATCGACGTCTCCGATTGTTACGCGGACCCGTGATCCTCGTAGCGGCGAACGATCCCGTAATCTCGACGGTAAAAATTTACAGCGATCCGTCGCGACTCCGTCAGCGCCTAGCGCGGTCCGCGCTCTAGGACGGCTAAAATTTGACATCGAGCATCAATGTGCACGCTGTTCAACAGCGCGGGGCCTAATATAACTTCCTTCGCGCGATCGCGATCACCGTCGATCACCGTCGTGTTATTTTTGGCTCGACCGAAGAGAGCGCGAACTATTTTTTGATGCCACCAAGTTAGCCCGAAACGAACGCTCGGAGGAAAGACTCGAGTAACCGACTTCGCAACCCGGCTCGTGCACGGCGCATTGTCGAGCGGCGGTTTCAGGGTAGCTGTCAGATTCCGATGATAGCACCTGTTCGCCGCAGCCGCGACTGTGGTGGCTGAAACGCAACGGCTTCCGCGATTGGCATTCCCGGAAAACGACATCGGACTTTCCCCGAAATTTCAATCGGCCCGCTCGATACTCGCGGAGCCGCCGATGCGGGAAGAATGGCGACGTCGAGATACACGCGCGATCGCGAATGAATCGGAGAACGGAGAGAGGAAGGGAAGAAGAGGAAAAGCGGCGAGGGGGCGCGAAAGAATAGAACGGAGAGAGAGAGAGAGAGAGGACAGGCGAAGGGACGAGAGATACGGATGGAGGGCAAGAAAGAGAGAACACGGGAACCATTATTGACGAACGGCTCTTGTACGTACACGATGCACCCGGGTCGATCTTCCCAATAAATCTTGACAATGAAGGAGAACCGAGGGGAAGCCTCGGAAATGTCTGAAGTAAGGACAAACGCGGGGAACGAGGGCTGGGAACATTGTAAAGATTTAGATAATGCCCGTGATCCGCCCGTGTTCTCTCGAAAGATGCTGGGTTCCGCGTTAATTACTTTCAATTGACTAATCATGCCGCGCGCAACTACATATCGGCGTTACAACGTTGAAGCCGTTTTACGCGGCTTCTGATATGGAATTTCTCGAGACACACCGCTGTCAAAAGCTAATCGCACGTAAAACAGTAATATGATAATTAGATGACGCCACCCGCCGCCAGAATTTTCGATTACAATCGCGCGAGTGTCGCTGCGAAATTTATCGATGAGCACGAGCGATCTCTAGCAATAATGGAACGCATATATTTCTCCCTTCTCTACGAGGTGCCGGAGGGAGAACAGACACAAGCGAGAGAAGAATTGCGCTTGTCTGATCGCCAGCGAGAGTCGTTGGAGGGAGCGGGGGCGGGGGGAGGAGGAAAAGGGCGGGGGAGGGTTGATGCGGTTCACCGGAAAGAGTGGTTCACCTCGTTGCAACCGAGCGCGCGCCCATCATCAACACCATGGACCATCGACGAGCCCACCCTCCTCCCTTCCCCCTTCCGTATGAACGACGCCAGCCCCCCGTTCGCCGACCTCTCTCGCCCTCCGCTCGCGGGAACTTCAGTTTCGTGCACGAAAGCGCCTGGTCGACGGCGGTTCACCTGATGTCACTCGGGCTCAGTCGTCACGAGGCGTCGCGATGCACCGATTCTTCGGACGCAAATGCGTCACCTTCGTCGTACGTTATCACGGAGATACGCGCAGACCGCAGAGGATGTTGCTCCGCGTCCGATCGCCCGGCGATGACACGAGCACGCCGGGCACCCGGTCCCTTTAACTCTCGTCAGCGCGTCCGCGCGTGAACCGTGTGCTGCACGCACGCAATCGTAAATCGCATCGTAAACCCGGGTTTACTTTGACTTACACGCGCGCTATAAATCACGAGCGTCGGCAGACTCCGCGCCGGAGAAGCGGAATGTTCCCCCGAGTGACAGCGAGAGGCTGCGGAAGCGAGCGGGCCCTGTGCCGTGTTTCGCCTGCGATCGATCACAAGTGAAGAGAAATAGAAATTTAATAAATATTCCGCGTTGGCGAGAGTCAAGGCTGACCGGTCGCGCTTAACCTGGCGATTGGTCCACGTGTGCTGCCCGTATAGTCGACCTTAATTATTCTCGTGTGCTCGCAATCGCGCGCCTCATCTCGAGCAACAAAGAGAACGTTAATCAGCAAACGCGAGTTGTATGAATTGTTCGCGCTATTGTAAAACAAAAATTACAGACACACACGCGGGTGAAAATATCGCTTTCACCGGTAAATGTGGAGTAACATTTTGCGTTTTTTTTTTATATATAAAAATTTGTTACATCGCGTTTAATTTGATCTGCATCGAATTTTGTCGGAAACAGACGCGAGCTTTTTCCACGCCCAGCCAGTGGAAAACGCCTCGTCCGCATATCTCGGTCGATTATTTCGAAAAAAAAAAATACGTCCGTCAAAAAAACACGAAAAGTTGAAACGGTGCTGTATACGCGGAGCACACAAATCATTCTTACGGCCAACGTTTTCGCGCAGATGTTGATATTATTTATCGCCCGTGCTCGCCATCGAGCTAACGCGGCGCAGCTCTGCAGTTACTCGTTGTCGGCCTGCGCGTTTACAAAAGAAAATTGTAACTTTCACGTCGAAGCCGTCGGTAATCGTGCCCGATCGCGGGAAGGAAAAGAAGACGTCACGAGGCATCGCCGGGTCTGTTTTACGGAATTAAACTCGCTCAATTGCAGTTACTTTGGCAACAATTCAAGACGCTCAGCAAATATTTCCGTTGTACTAATTCATTCCGACCGGTTTATCTAGACAGTCTGCGCAGTTTATCTCGCTGCTAAAATAAGTATAGATCTCTTTCAAACAATCCCGCGAGACTATCTGCACCATATATTCTCCTCTTGCCGTCTACTTCAATTCCCCCCCCCCCTTTCTCTCTATCTCTCTCTTTTAAGTCCTCGAGCTCTTTTTGCGTGTTCGGTTCGGGACTGCATTTCGCTGCCTCTTTACAGGAGCGCATCGCATCGAATTGCCGCGCAAAAAAATATTTCCAATTGCTCGATGGCGCTTATCAGCCACGCGCCGCTCGGGACCCCGCGACTACCAATCGCGCTCCTAATTCTGGGGTCACTTCCGGCAGCTCAACTTGCTAAATTCTATTGGTTCTTCCACGGAGGGACAAAGAACCGACCGCGGCAATATAAGCCCTCTACGCGTGGCCTGAGTGCCTTTTTCTCGGTTTTACCTCGAGGTGACAGGGTGCGTAGATCGCGTTTATCGAATCTGAAGTTGAGACAGTTGCGAACCCAAAGGCGAACCCAAAGGCAAAGTACTTGTAAAGTCTGGTGTTTCCTGTGCGAATTAAAAGCTCGATTATCGTGAGCTACGCGAATCTCGATGCCTTCCTCCGGTTTCCTATCGCGACGGTGAATCCGCTTTGGTGCAGCGCATCCGCGAACATCGGTTTTGCAATTAAATTCGCGAAAATACTGCGATATATTAAAGTTTGCAGCGTGTGTGTATTCACTTTATTATTATTTTATTTGCTCGAGTTCGATGAAAGCGCAGTATTAATAACAACCGCATGTTATCGCGGCGGGTGGAAAATTTTGCTTATATCCTTCAACGTAAATATTTTGATTTAATGTTAATGTCAATGCCGCGGAATATATTCCGGCGCAATGAGCAACAATTTAAGCTGGCTCGCGTGTAACTCCAAGATTGCAGGAAGAGAGAATCTCGGGATTGTTGTTGCAGAGCCCAGAGCACGGCGGCGCCGTCCAGGAGGAAAGGGATACCAAAGCCCGAAGGCAGACTGTCAAGAGTCATACATCGTCGTCTTCTGGCGTCAGTCCTGGAGCGCCGTCGGCCTCCTTTCGCCATAAACCACCGCCGGTCTCGCCCGCGAGATCCATCACGCCGGAAGTGATACAGGTCGGTTTTTCCTTGCACTCGTTGTACAGTCTTATTCATTAATGCCCCGGTTTTATCAGGATTCACATTTTTCATAATCTTTATTTCCATCCGCACTTCGATCAGGCTGTAGTTGACGCAGCTTGTTTACCGGGACAAAAATATTCTTGACGCATTTCTATTTCTCGCAACCTCATTTAGTATAAAAATAAGAGAGTATCGAAATTAAATCAATAATTCTTATTCTCCTTTATCGAATTAATAAAGATTGACTTACTATATTGCGACAAGAGCGACTTATATAAATGTAAGTTTATATACATATTCTTGCGTTTAGAATACATTTTCCCTCCATCTGACAACGCACGAAGTTGACACCGCGATATTCGACAAAAGACGATTCTAGATTTTAGAATTTTTCATTTAAGATTAAAATATTTCTTTCTCTATAATAAATACGTAGACATATAAAAGATAGAGGAACCCTAGGTAGGGGTATTTTTCTGAGGGAAAAGGACAACATAAATTTATTTGGGTATCTGTCTTCCTCTAGTGGGCGGAGATCAACCAAACTGTATATTGCACAATCGTGCATTGGTTTTTTAAGCATGTCGATTTGCCTGTATAAAACGGGATGTTTCTCATTGCGAAAAACACGCGGCAGCTTAATGACATCTTGAAGATGTTATTTGCATGCTGTCTGGAGTAGTATATACGCACAGACACTGAAACTCAGTGATTTGTATGAGAAAAATGATGATAAAAATGCAGGTCCGGGCATTAACGAATAAGGCTGTACGTCTTCTCGACTCGATTCTTTGTGCGCGTAATAGCGTCATCTGCCCGAGTCGAAATTTTGGCCCTATATTGAACCTTTAACTCTATTATATAGTAGGACCTGAGACAGTAAAAGAGGTCGAACTGCAAGTACAAACTTTGCTCCTGCTTTCAAATTGATAGTGTCTGAAATTTCTACTTTTGCCAATTTAGCATTCAAATGGGTCCTTTTAAGTGGGAGCTAAAGTAAATTCTTAGAATTAAAGATTCAAGAGAGGAGTAAAAAAATATAATGTCATCAAAGTTGTTGGTCTGTGTAGGTGTACAGATCATCTAAGTAGATGTAAGTTATCCTTAAAAGTGTCAAAATAGTACCAAAATTTCGATTCTCGGGTGAACAGCGATTAAACAGTGCTTGTGTGTTCTGTGCGTGCGTGCGTGTTAAACGAGATTACTCGTGATTGTTTCATTCGCACAAGTTTCATGAAAATTTAATCAATTCTGGTCTCGGCAAAAAATTATCGAAGCTTCAACGAAACATTTGTCAGACGACTATCTCGCCATCGGACACGCGAGTGCCGTAGAATCGACAATGCAATTTATATATGTATGTTCGTTCGTCGCGGTCAATTAAAAAAATTGCGGTACGCGATTCGTGCTTTCTCCCCGTGCTTTCTGCATAAGGGACACAATTGCTGCATTAATTGGCAAAATGGCACGGGAGAAACGCCGCGGGTCGGAAGACTCGGTGGTTCCGCGCTAATTAATTTCTTTAATTGAATCGCCGACTGCAGTTTTTGCGCGACGGTAAAGTGTATTTCCGCCCTAATTAAATGAATGCAGGCCGCGCGGTTACGAGGACAATCCTAGTCGCGTACCGTACGCGCGAGCTTTAAGCCCGGCCTAATGATTAATTCGCATTTCTATTTGCCGACGTTTATTTTACATGAACAGTTCGCGCCTCTCGACATTTCCACGTAGATAATTTCTTCGCGATCACGATTAATTATCGTTTGTAAGCGCGTCACGGAAGTACTTTCTAAAAGTCAATCAGTGAATTGTCACTGAAAATAGTGACGCGGTGAATATTCACTGATTCACAGCTGTACAGGGTGTCCCAGTAGGAAAGGTCAATATTCTGGGAGGCGATAGTATCGGTGATTTCAAGCAAAAATGTTCACACGAATATACGTCCCATTCCCCACTGTTTCCGAGGCAGAGCTACTTGAATGTCTCGCGTATTCACGTTTTTTTTTCTGTACACTTCACTCTTCATCCAACCCCATGAACAAAAATCCAATGGGGTCAGGTCTAGAGATCTTGGTGGCCAATCAATGCCACGACCGATCCAGCGATTAGGGAAAGTGACGTTGAGGTGTTGCATCGCGAATCGGGTATAATGAGGAGGAGGTCTGAAAGTCATGCTGAAAGTACATAACACGCCGTGCAGCCAAAGGAACGTCTTCCAGTAGTTGTTCTGGTAATGCATTCAGCAGAAATTCCACGTAATTTTGCCATACAATCTTCTAAAATAACGGTATTTGCACGGAGAGACCGATATGGTTCCCACATGTCTAATTAAGGTTGGCACAACCCCAATAAATAGTAATATTTGGGACAGCTGTACTTGCGGTTGTCGCATACCCACATCGGTGTGATAAATAGTGGAGACAGCTATACGCGTTTTGCGCGGCAGACTTAGTGAATGCCGCGACACAAAACAATGTAAATGCCCCTACGATTTATACGGCAACATTTTAAGTTCAGTTATTTTTGCCTTAGCCGGTCTTTCCGCGTGCAAAGTAAGTTTGCGACTGTACATTCGAATAGCTCTATCTCGGAAACAGCGGGGAGTGGGACACATGTGCGTACGAACATTTTTGCTTAAAACGACCGATACTATCACCTCCCAGAATATTGATCTTTCCCCCTGGAACACCCAGTATACCGCTGAATTATTCAGTGCTATACTCGTAACTGTTTTCAGTGATAATACGCCGATTGGCTTTCAGAGAGCACCGCCGCACAATAAACTCTCACTCTTTTATCGACGTAGCCTATAACGACACGTAGATGATAATATTTTATCGACACAAAAGCCTTTAATTCCCCGCTTTTGAAAATGTCAATTTATTTGTTGCGTAGCCAGGACTCGAGGACGGCGCATCACGCGGGGACTCCCACAGACAAAGCTCGAAAAGTTCGGATGGCTCGGCTGCCGGCGCGCGAAGGTATAGTCATAGAGAAATTGTGAGCTTCATTTTCCATTCTCTCTCAATTTCGCTCGAGATCTCGAGTCAATTATTCACGATTATACGCAAATCTAACAGGAATAAGGAACTTGGTTAGAAGCTTAGGTATATATATATATAATACAGGAATGCTCGTGCATTTCTCTCCTATCGTTTATCTCTCGTCCACGAACGTTCCGCTGCGAGCGATCGGCGTTGGAGCGCCGTGTTCTTTTCCCCGCCGATTCGAAAGCGCGCGTTTCGTCTCGCAGATCCTCCATGAAGAAGTCAATTCGCAAAACTGCCCCGCCGCCCCCCGTGAACCAGGGTATCCTCCGCGAGGTCAGCGAGGAACGGGAGGATCACGCGTCCCCCGCCGTCGCGGAACCTCCCTTAAAGCCCAAGTACTCCTCGGACGAGAGTTCAGACGAGGACGAGGAGGACACGCGTATGCTGGAGGGAAATGTCTACACGAAGAGCGGCTTCGAGGTAAACGAGTGAGAGACGGTGTCCCTTCAAGCCTCTCTCCGTCTCTCTCGCGCTACGATATAACGTGCTGTAAAAATTGCCTAGATCTCGCGGAAGAGCGCCGGAAACGTGAAGCGCACGAAGCCGGAAATCGAGGCGGATCCGGAGGAAGAGGACGAGTTCGGCTACACGGCCAGTGAGTGACGCTCCCGTGCTAAATGTAGACCGCGATTCCGAAACAATTGGGAATTGATATTTATATATATATATATATATATACACACACATACTATTTACGTCACCGAAGAGATCGATATTCACTCCGTGCGATCGCGCCGCCACGTCCGGCGCGGCCGTTAACGGCGAGATACAATTTTATTATCTCCCCGATCAATCAATCAATGCGGTCCGCGCGATCGTTCTGAAAAGATAACCGATTACGGCTGCGATCAAGCTGCCGCTACAAACGCTTCGCGGCGTTTCTCCTTCTCCCCTACCATCCTCACTGAAAGAAGGGAGAAGAAGAATACTTGCAAAAGATTTGAAGCGACAGCTTCACCGCAGCCTACGTCGCTTTAAAATCACGCGCGCGTTGGTCCACTGAGTTCTCCACACGAGAACGTCCTCTTGACTTTGCAGTGAAGATACAGAAAAAGTATCGGAATCTCGGGCACAAGGTGCTGATGGTCACCGTCGAGAAGGACAGGCGGGGATTGGGCATCTCTCTGGCGGGACATAAGGACAGGAACCGAATGGCGGTGTTCATCTGCGGTCTCAATCCGAAGGGGCCAGCTCACAAGAACGGCGGGCTTCTCATCGGCGACGAGATATTGGAGGTGGGTGGTTTCACCATCTCCCCCCGTGCCATTCCGCGTTTTTACGACGTGCCATTTACGACCGCGGTTCCCCACGTCGTCGGGTTGTTTAACCTTCGTTTCACGCGCCGTCCATAATCCGTTTAACTCGCCCGTCGCGACGTTACGCGCTGCGGGTTTTCTCGAGGAAATAACACAACAGACCGACGTGCTCCGGCGTAAATTCGCTAAGCCGAAAAACAAAGAGCGCCCCGGTCGCACTTGCCGCGATAATGTAATATAGACGAGGAGGAAGAATTCTGTAATCCTGCAAATTACGCGGGAGGACTTTGACATTTATGTTCAAGTACGTCAAGCGCTTAGGGCTCGAAGTGTACGCAACTTGGAAATTATACTTTGACAGCTGGCCCGTGAATGTGGGAAAATATATCGGGAAAAACGAAATGATATCCGACTGCGCACGCGAGCTTTCGTTTTTATTTTTATTAGAGTTAGTCTTTCTATCCTTATATCGGATGATGAAAAGAATTCGCCTCTATTTGCTAGCTGGAATTTCACAAGTCGCGTTTCGTCACGCGTTTCACGCCACTGTGTGTAACAAGTGTAAATAACGAAAGCGCGAATAAAATATTATTTTCTGTTCCACTTTAGATAAACGGCTGCGTGTTGCAAGGACGATGTCATCTGAACGCTTCCGCGCTTATCAAAGGCATGGCCGGTACTCTGTTCAAAATCATCGTTTATCGGTGAGATACCAGAGCTTTTTCCGCGATGTAGCGTAGAGACGACATGTATAACAAAATTCATTAAAACTATAAACGGATTTCGCCTGTCCCGGTTGCAGACGATCGAAGGCTGTCGACGACATCGCCGTAAAGCCGATAGTCCAATTTCCACCAACCTTGGATGACGTAAGTCAATTCGCGGCGTCTACCTTTTTTTATCCTCATCGTGCAAAACCGTGGCTGCAGCACTCGTAAAATAATAAATCAGCGGAAAGCAATTGAGCGTTGCATAATACACTCGGCGCGGTGCAATTAATTGAGCAGCAATTGCGAGAAAAAGAAATGCCGCATAATCACTTTAATGAATGCACAAATGACCGGCGACAAATTTTGCCGATATGAATATTTTGAAATAACAACATGAAATAACGAGGATAATATTATGCGAAGACAGATAAAACCGCTCGCATCTATTCAACATTGATGCGCATTTAAATTACGTAGAATGCCCGGTGGGTCGTGCGATAAACTCATTTTCTGCGAAAAAGCGCGCGACGTAGGAATTTAACAATTTCGAAATTGAATAAAAATTCTTTCCCTTTGAAACTTGTTTATCTTTCACGGTGCCGAAGGAGTCTTTCGAAATGCTGAATTATGATCGAGCCACGTTAAAATTATAATTTCGTTGCGGAACTTTAAGACTTTCGTAGATGAAGTAAGAGAGACTTTCTCGCGGCATCGGAGCAAAGACTAGTGTTTTACTTGAGGAATTTTGTGCGTGATAATTCACACAGTTTTTTTTTATTCCGGGACACTTGGCGAGTGCATTGTAATACCGTCGTGAAACGATGTCTCACGTGTTACAGGTTTGTATAGACTTCACGAAGTACAAGGGAGTCCGCGACGTTCGGGTGAAGAAGGTAAGCGCCCACCGAAATCGAGCGATCGATATTTCGGCGCAATCTTACTTTCTAATATTAATTGCCGATTGATCGTAGAGTCAGTACGGCCTTGGCATAATGATTATCGAAGGGAAACACCTGGCTGTAGGACAAGGTATCTTCGTGTCCGACATTCAAGAAGGCAGCGCCGCGGAACAGGTAATTTTCGCTCGTCGTACCTACGACCTTGAGAGGCCTATTTTAAGCGGGACTCGTATACTTTACAACGCGACCGATATTTCAGGCTGGATTGCTAGTGGGCGACATGATCCTGGCCGTTAATCTGGACAGCTTGTTAGGCCGCACGTACGATGAGGTTCGTACTCTTTTTCATGTTCTCGTCTTTAAACAAGAGATTAGCCTGCCAATCGAGACGCTAGACGTTTAAGCGATCTACGTTCTTTTTCCTTTAGCAATCTCGTTGTTTTCTTTTAGGCGACGGAGTTGTTGAAGAAAGCGGAGGGTGTCGTGAAACTAGTCGTTTGCAATCCTAACGAAAATAAAGAAGAGAAGGAAAAGGGCAAGAGTCAGGAACTCAAGGACTCTTCAATTTCCGCACAGAAAACTCCACAAAAGAGTGGAACACCGGGTGAGTTTAATGACTTGATGATTAATAGCGAATTGGATTGCTTGCACTAGTGCGCGCTGAGTGCACACCAAGGCCTGCTATAGTCACTTTTTATATTTAACTCTGTCTTAAATGCACGTGCAAGAAGTATTTAGCCGAGAAAGGATCCGCATGGATGCTGTAAAGATCATTTTACTGGCTACGAAATATTTCCAGAGATATTTAAGACGATCCTTAAATACAAGAATTGACTGTAAACAAGCCTCAGTGTGGACTCAGCGTGCACAAGCAACCGAATTCGCTATAAGACTCTTTCATTTTCAAAATTCCGTGATGACGCGCGCATACATTTCACTCTTGAAACTATGATTTCGATCTGCATTTACATTAGCGACCGGCAAGGAACCGGTGGAGCCCGAGGAGAAGAAAGTCCGGCAGGATCCAAAGACCTGCAAGGTAGAGGTCGGCAAGGAAGTAACGATAGAGTTTCAGAAGGACAAGAATCAAGGCATAGGTTTCTACATCGCTGGCGGCTCTAACACGCCTTGTGTGAGTACATTGGATAATTTGCAAAAGCACTTCGCCCATTCGCACGTCATTTGTAATCTTCTGCTTGTCAAATTGCGAGACATTTAATTAAAATATAGAATACGGTGCGTGCAGTAGTTGTATCGCTGCCACATAATATCGAAAATATTCGCGATTGATCTTATCAATATCAAATAGTTATCAATATATTCGCCTATAACGTTTTTCTTTGTTCTAGAATGGAGTATTCGTTTTGGACGTATCTCCCGAAGGCGCAGCTGGGAAGGACGGTCGGTTGCAACCAGGCGATCAGATACTCAACATAGGCAGCGATAGCTTCACGGAAATAGAGCACGACAAAGCTCGCGAGACACTCCTGAAACAAGCTCCTGGGACTGTACGTGGCATTTGTGCGCCGTTAAATAATTGTTTCTCGTCTTATGGAACGAGGAAAAAGACGTGGAACAGTCTTGCGATATATAGTTTACACGAACTTGTGTTTTAATGTTTCCTGGATTGAGCGAGCGTGACGCGATCTCGTTGTTCGTTTGCAGATCACGATGTCGGTGTTGCGCCACGAGAAACCAACCGAGGAATACGAGGTCGAGATACAGAAGAAGAGCGGCAAGGGAGCTGGTCTCTGTTTCGCCGCGTTCTGGAGCAACAAGGGGGTCTACGTGAAGGAGCTGGTGAGTCTGGTTCTCCAGTTCTACTCGCGCACAGCAAAACGATATGTATCTGGTTGCGTAAGAATCATTCGGATACCGATTGCGATATCCGATGCAGTCTCAGATTGTCCCTTTGCTGCGTGGGTATCAAACGGTACACGCTCATCGCATTTTACCAATTTCTACCTACAGACAGCGGGCGGCCAGGCCATCGAAACCGGCAAGATCTGCAAGGGCGATCAACTCGTGGCGATCGGCGGACTGGACGTTCGCGACGCTTCCCTCGACGACATCGCCTTTCACATGAAGATATCTAATCCGCTGCAAATGAAGCTAGCTAGGTACCATTCCGCCAAACAATGACAGGTAAGGCCGACACGTGAGCTGGGTTCGAGAAACGCTCGTGGATCGTTTTGTTCCTCCGGGCTGAACGAGCGTGAGCCTGTGAAGCAAGAATCGCGGTATCCTACTTGGTACTAGTAGTAACGAATTATCTTATCCAGGGTTCTGCGGGCGGAACTCCCAGCGGGTGTCCCGACGTGCGAAGAAGCGCCCGCAGGCACCGTGGATCCTAGTGTGATATACATAGGTAAAATAACGTCTCGACTAACCGTACGAGAGCACCTTTGTTACGAGAGCCGCGCGAAATGGCGCGGCTCGTTCTATTATTTACACGCCAGCGTCGCCAATCGATCTTGCCGTTTCGAGCTCACGGACTCGCGTGCGACACGAGACGCGAGGCAGAGAGGTGGAACGAGGAAGACGGAGCACGGAAGAGCGCGATGACTCACAAAGAGTACACATCAATCCGGATCCAGGAGCCGGCGGAGGGAAGGATATTTTTTTCCCCCGTAAACAGCTCGGGGTAGAGGGTGAAACCGAATCGAGTGAAATCCCGTCGATGCCGTCGATCGAGTCCGTAAACAATTCCGTCTGCCGGTGTTCGCGCTCGTGCAAGTAGCCGATACGAAGTATCTTATAGACATACATACACATACGTTATGATTATAATCGTATAGCGAGGTAATACGTTATCGCCGAGACGAGAGTTCAATAACGGCGAGAGGGTTTCGTCTCGTTCGGCATAGGAAGGCCGGTAGGACAGGTAAATCGATAATAATTGGCGGGTCTGCAATCCCTCGAGGCTCATGAAGGGGTGGAAAGGCGCTGGATCGCCCGGATCCGGTCTTTTCTCTTTGGATTTCGCCGTATCCCCTTGCATCCCCGATACAAAATCGAATTCGCTTGTACATTTCGTACCGCATCTTGCGTACATTTTAAGGCGGGCAGAAATAGGTAGGATCGACCGTGTAGGACCGCGCGTTTTCTCGACAAGTGAGACATTTTTCCTCGTTCCTTATTGTTTCCTTTCTACGATAAGACTCTAGTCCAGCCCGAGATCGACGCTTCGGCGTTTCTCGCCTTAATTATCTCTCGCTCGCGTCGCGGCCGCTCCCGCCGCCGTAGCGTTATTACTGTCGCATATTGTATTTTTTAATATTAATAAGAAGCACGCACGGAGCGATATGCGAGCCACGTCGGAGGATGTGCGCGCATCTACCGTTGCGAAAGGCTCTTCTCATCCGCCCGGGCTTGAGATAAGGCACGTCAAATTGCGGTAAATCCCGCACAAGTTGGAAATCTATGTGAGGCGCAGCATTAATTCACAAATCGACAAAAGCGAAACGATGCGTTAGCGAATCGCTGTATCACCGATGGACTTTACTTTGCGTAACTCACGCGCGGACATCGTCCAGGGTGGCTCGCACGTATCGGAGTATCAATCAGCGTAGAATATATATCGCCTAAAGGACGTTAGAGATAAGGCAAAGCGGAGGCACACACATACACACATCCCTCTCGAACGTAGACCGACGAACACGGGGAGCGGTCGCGTCAAATGTCGAAGCGTCGATCGAGAGGATCATTTAGCTGTAAGTGCTTGGAGACGCGCGCTCGACGTACAATCGTGATGTTTCTCAGCACGAAATGGATATCATCCCGAGTGTTCAAGCGTTTCTTTAGGCGACGCGTCGAAAAGCTAGACTGGCTTGTTGAGTACACATAGTTAAATTAAATCCTACCGTGTAACTAGTCCTTATACCATAGCTTAGAGATTTTCAGAGAGCGAGGACGAGAGGGAGAGAAAAATAAATATAAAAAGAGATATTATATATATACATATATAAATAAATAAGTAAATACATATATGAATAAATTATATGTATAATATAAAACAGAATCTATAATAGGAGTCGCGGAACATGTTAATTTTAACGAGTCGCCCGTATCTGTCATGTCGCGTGAGTGGTTGCACGTTCTTAAAGAACGTTTTGCATCTTGAATCTCGTATAGTTTATCGTAGCGTGACGTTTATATAGGGGCGTCGATTATGTCTCTGGCCGATGGCTCGAGGATGAAGTAACGTCATTAAAATTGTTAGTTATACGATCATTATTATTATTATATATTATATATAGTATATTACGCCACGCGAGTTGTATAAAGAATTAATTACTGTGTACTGTACGATGCGTTATCGCGTATTAAATATTTCCGACGGCAGAGAAATAGAGCAACCCTCGGTAAGCGTTGAAAATCGAGAAGCGAAAACTCTCTGCCCGAGATATTGATTATCGATGAAAGAGAGGACGCGTAGAGCATTTCGCTCCTCAAGTTTATCCGTGTTGATTTGTACAAACGTGTCTGTTTAGGTTTTACAATTTTACGTCGATATGCTTCAACGTAAAGTTCCCTTCTGATGAATTAATTTTCGTCTCGATCTTGCTACGCGACCTGTCAATCTACCTTTCTTGTCGTATCGTTATTTATGCGTACGTTATTTATTACAGCTTAGGGTGCTATTACATTTGTCGCACGTCAAAGTTTTTAAACGCGTTGATCGGCTACGAGCTAGAAAATTGCTAGATACTCGACAACTTTTCTATCCTTGCAGCCAATCAACGCGCTTGAAAAATTTGCCGTGCGACAACTGTAATGCCAGCCTTAGGGTACTATTGCATTTATCGGACGACAAAGTTTTTAAGTGCGTTGATCGGCTACGAGTTAGAAAATTTCTGGATACCCGACAACTTTTCTGTCCTGCAGCCAATCAACGCGCTTGAGAAATTTGTCGCGCGACAAATGCAACACCAGCTTTAGAATCTTCTTCATTCAAAGTGCACTTGGTATTTATCTTGTTTACACCGCTTTTTAAAATTCCACCGAATCAATTTAAAATACGACGATGACCGTCGCGTTTCTACGACGCTACGAGGATATCGCGACGCTCGGTAGTCGCTCGGGCTATCGCCGTTCGTGCCGTCTACCGGCGCGTTCTTAGAGAATTTTACCTGAGACGTAGAATGTAAGCACGTCTAGCGTTAGCTGTGCGGAGGAACGGAGGCGAGCGAGTCCATCGCGAGAATCGCCGATTCGTATTCCGCGTCACCGCGGCTCGAAGTCGCGTTACCGCGAACGATATCGATATCGGATTATCGACGCGGCGCGCTCGAGATGCCCTGTCCCCGCCGCGAAAACTCGATCGTCCCGAAAACGCAACGACAATGGCCGTCGTTGTGTTTCCAATTAGCGGGAGATAACGATCGACCGGCGGATAACAATCGCGCGGCCGACGAGATTCCATCTCCAATTTCGCGGTCGTTTGCGGAGCGGGCGTTCCCGCTAAGCTTTCACGTTAAATCGATCTCGTCCCGAATCGTCCTGCCACGTGGTCGCGCGCTCGCACGTGGAGACGCGACTGCGAAGCACGGCTGCGACGCGAGTGCACGATTGTCTCGATATTATGTACCCTCCATAGTTACCGTTCTGTTCGCACGCGCATTTATTGTACCATTATTAATAGCGTTGTTGCACACGAGCGGGACGATTGTAAAATGGCCCGAGGGCAGCCCGCGGACGGTCCCCACTCATGGGGGAAAAAAAAGGATAGCAACTCATTTTGGGACCCACAATTAGCAATCGAATCGTTTGGATTGTTCGTAACTCCGCTCTGGAAAAAATTTGGGCCGTTCTTTTGTAGTTAAGCAACTTGACATTTCGGTTAGTGCCTCTTAAGTGAAAATTATCTTTGCGTTACCGAATATCGACAGAACTAATTGAGAGAATTGATTAGTATTACTTAAAAATCTTGGATATAGATAGAATAGCTAATTGCGACTTTTAGTTACGAGGAGTAAATTCGTGAAAGATTAGAGGGTACGAACAATCCAAATAATTCGATTACTAATTGTGGGCCCCAAAATGGGTTGCTAACTGTCTTCTTTTTCCCAGAGCATCGTGAATCGAACTCGCCACCCCAAACGTCGCATATCTAAACGAACGTCTTAGCCTAATGTTGCGTTTGCCGTATGACAAATGTAATGTATTAGGCTTAGAGATGTCTTAAAGACCTTTTAGATACGCGCGCTGTACGGGAAGCTACGTTCGGCATTGCAAATCCGGGGCGTCGGAGACGCGCCCTTTTACATTCGAGTGAGCGAGAGGGGAGAATGAGATGGAAAGGGAGGAAGAGGGAGCACGCCCCTCAGATTTACAACGCCGAACGCAGCTAAAGTGATGCGGACGGGGGTGATAAGAGGAGATATCTCGCGCGGTTCTCTCACCGTGGATTTTAGACACGCTAAGAAAAGGATGCCGATTGCCATTTTACAATCCACGGCTCACGATTACTATCCTGATTATTGTTAACATGATTATTGCAGTCGACGTCATGGATCATCGTAGCGCGGCACTACTGAGAATAAGAAAGAAAGCGATTATTATAGAATAAGAATAAACCGGGGGGAGGGAGGGGGGAAGGGGAGAGACGGAGATCTATTAAAAGCATTAATTGCAACGTTGTAGTAAATGATGTTTGTTATTGTTGCATAAGTAATCTCTTTACGCCACTTTCACCCCTTATCTTGCTAATGACTGCTTCAATGGCTGCGCTCAAAAAATCAACCCATGAATTGTCACTGAAAACAGTGAATAGTCACTGATTTGCACCACTGCGATTTTCAACGGTGTACTTACAACTGCGAATCAGTGACTATTCACTGCTTTCAGTGATAATTCGCTGATTGATTTTTAACGAGTGCACCAGAAAAGAGATTTAGTCAGGTTAAACAAATGAGATACGTTGAAATCATGTTTCTCTGAATCTATTAAATTTTTCTTTATTTCTATTAAAACATTTCCTACATTTGAAGAAACAGATGCGAATTCTCTTATTGTGGAAATTCCAATCTCGAGCAAATAAAATTTTGATTGAGGTAAAGAAATAATTTCTTTGCAATTAAGTAAGAGTCTAGTAAGGTCAAAATTTAAAGAAAATTTGTTTGATTCAAAGAAACTTTTTGCTGGGTGTGCGCCACGTTAAGGTAAGTAAGGCCTTGTTATATAAAAATTATTATACAAATAGTCTTATTGCACAATTTCTGTACAATTTTTATGTAAAGAGGATATTTTCTTGTCATGTTCTCTAAAAGTCAATCAGTGGATTATCGCTGAAAACAGTAAATAGTCGCTGATTTGCAGTTATAAGTATACTACTGAAAATCGCAGTGATAATTCACTCCTTGACTTTTAGAGAGTAGATCTAAAAGTGTTTTCTTCTCGTGAGCTATACGTGTAATTATTAAATATTTCAACGCTTTCAAGTGACGATTGGAAACGTATTTCAGAAGGTAACGTGGAAACAACTAGGAATCTACATTTTTTTCATCTCGCTCTCAGAATTTTTGTTCTGCAACCGCAATCGAGAGAGGACAATTGCGGTGAGCGCGAAAAATTCGATTTGAGAATTCCTTGGAGTAAATTTCGCTCTGCGCGCGTCACAACGCAATCCACCAGCGCGAGATCGAGCGTCGATCGTCGTGTCTCGCGAATGACGCAAAATCTCGACGGCGTCGTCACGCCGCCTTTTTTCCGGTTAATTAATCGTGCATTATCGTGCGCTCATGACCTACTTGCGCCGCCGATGAACAATCTCTTCAGTCCACTTGGAGCACGTTCTTGGAGCAAGAAAAGTAACGACGTCTCGAAACAGACGCCTGCGTCACGTCGCGCGGCGTCTCCCCGCTCGAACGCGCCCGGCGCGTTTACTAATTAATATCGTGATTACTCGCGCTCGGTGCGCGTGTAATCGCACGCTCGTTAAATATCAGGACTCTCGTTGTCCTCGCGCGGGACGATTTCACTCGCGGCGAACCGGGAAAGCGCCGCGGTGATTTTACGTTTTCGCATGGCGCATCGGTAATCTACATGGACGTAGGAAATATTTGGACAGAGCGCGTAACGCACCCCCATAGACGCAGGGAGCTGTCTCAGAAGGCTGAGGGGAATCTATTGTCGCGGCCATCTATTGTCTTGGTGCCGGATATTTAGTGTCTATTATCACATTGTGAGACATACGGAATGAACTAAGCCCATTCTCCTAATACTTTGCCAGTTTTCGAGATACCAGATTTTCACCGTGTGAAACTTAAAATTCTTGGAATTCCAATTGTTGAAAATTTAGATAGTGCCACCTCTTGTCGGATCAAGTTCTCCTGATACTTTGCCAGTTTTCGAGAGTTCGCTACAATAAACATTTTATTCCCCTCACCCTTCGTTGACCGCCTCCGCGGCACTACGCTCCGTCCAGGTATCCCTACGTCCATGGTAATCTCCGAGAGTTATTTGTGGGACATCTTAATGTAACAATATAACGGGAGTTATGAAAGTTCCGTAACTTCTGCCCAAATCGCGGGAAAATATTAATCGAGCAGCGACAGGATATCTGGTGCGTGAAGTACGAATTGGGAGAGACACAAGAAAATCTGCGGTCATCCGGTCGCGCGTCTTTTCCGTCGAGCGAAATGGAGCGACGCGCGGTACCCTTGTGAAGCGTGAAATTCCTCGTGCCGCGGCGCCGGCAAGAAGAGCCTCGCGCGAGCGAACGAGTGAACGAGCGAGTGCGTTCAGAAATCGAACTTGACCCTGAAAGTTCCGCTCGTCGCTTTGACAATCGGATGTCAAGAGAGAAAGGCGGAAAGCCGACGCGCGCGAATATTCGACGTCAAATTGCTTTCGTCGTGAACCACAAAAACAGAAAACTTATTGTCACTTTAATGAAAATGCAATAAAAAACATTTTTATAATATATTCAAGTAATATACCAGTGCATAACAAATACTTACAAATACTAGTATCTGTTATGTTACTTTGACTTCGAGTTGCCTCTAAAAACGCCGACGAGGCTAGTTCCAACAATTTATAATTATCCGAACTTGCTCTTTCAAGAGTTTTTTCAGGTACAAAAGATTCGTTATGGTTCAGAGTATGAGACGCATTCAAGACCTTAGCACTTTCTTCTACTTCAATAGGGTACGAAGATATCGTCGTACTTGAAGTGACAAGACAAGACAAGACAATTTGATGTTGAAAAATCAAAATTTTATGTTGAGCGAGAAGAACGAGAAAATGATGTTGAAGAATGAGAAAATGATGTTGAAAAGGCGAAATCTAACTGAAAGCCATTTTCCATATAAAATGTACGGAGTCCTTTCAATGCAATCTCAATCTCAACCCGTAGTCTGATTCGGGCTTGACGAGTGTGAAATGATACACTGGAGCAGTGCTCTGTACAAAAACCACTGCATCCACCGTGGCCGGTGGTGGGGATGTGGTGGGGGGGGGGGGCGCCCTCAGGTTAGCTAAGCGTCTCAGCGAGTTAACCCTAAGAGCGCCCCCCACCACACCCCCGCCACCGGCCACCATGAATGCAGCTGCTTTCGTTTGGGAGCACCGCACTGGAGCACTCTAGTGACTTTCCCAAACCGCCTCAACGTCGAGAAGTTAGCCGTTGAATTACAGCGGCCCGAACACGGGCGACGCACTTTTGTTACCAGCACGCCCGTCCGTCGCAAGCGCCGCGATAACTTCTTAATCACACGCGCAAGTTTCCCCGCAGGAAACAATCCGCCCGACGCGATGGAGCTGTTCGATTTGTGCGCGAGCGACATAGACTCTCTACTGCCGTATATGAAGAGCCATTTGATGTCGGGAAGCCGGCAGGTAAAAGGAGAATCTGCGCGCCCCGCGCGCGTTTTCGCACGCCGTTCCGATTTCCGATCCTCATTTCGTATTCACGTTGTCGAGCGCAGATTCTCGTATCGACCGGAGAGATCTAATGCCGAAAAGAACGTTATGTACCTTGTACATATATGGTAACATGTTTCTCTTTCCTGGAAAATTGCCTCCAATTTCAACACAGTCTGGGACAACGTTCCCTCGGCTTTTTACTCTTACTCTTCTGCTTGATAAAGCATAACTTTCTTCTTAATTGAGAGATAATTTCGCTGGGCTTAATCACCAACGCCGCAGACGCGCGAAAACGGATCGCGTTTCATTAATCCGCGAGCGAGCGTGAGACCCGTTACGACTGGGCATCGTGAGTGCGTTTGGTATGAACTCAGCGAAATTACAGCGGTATTCATCACCTGTAACGCGAGCGCGTAACGCACGAATCGAGGACGATCGAACGGAAATGGAGCGGAAAGAAGTGAAAACGAGACGCGCGCGCGCGCGCGCGCCCGCAAACGCACAACACGGATCTACGTTCGCGTCAGCAGCTTCGTTCGTTAATGCACAGTACCGCATATTGCGATCTTAATTTGTCCTTTCTTTGTTTACCGCAATGAAATTAGACCTGGGTCGCGAAGAAGATACTGGATTTACTGAAGACGATGAAGAAATCCGAAAGCTGCACCGTCGTGAAAAAGCTCGTCAATTTCGACGTGATATCAATCATGTGCGACGCCATGCAGGCGTCGAATGAGGATTTCGTCAGGTACGCGACTGCTCTCTTACGCCATGAATAATCGATCGCGTGCAAAGTTCAAGCCTGCGTTTCGCAATTGATTGAAAACTGCCCGACTCTGTTCGCAGAAACGTTCTCAAGTGCTTCGAGATTCTGAACAACTACACTGAATTCTACGAGAGTCAAACGGCCATCAAGGCTCTACAGATGATGCTGAGGCTCAGTTACTGCATAAATATATCGCTCAATGAATCAACTCTGTTTGAGAAACTTATACAGAGCATAGCCGACATACTTGTTAGGTATCTTTTGCTCGTCGTTTACTGTAGAAACATATATCTTTGGTATCTCTTCTGCATATAATTATATATTACGTACTTATTTATTATATCTGCATATCGTATTATATTTGCTAACGAATCGAACATTGTCTAACTGTCAAATCTTTTGCTGAAACAAGTATAATTATCATACGCAGTAAAATACAAGCATTTGCCAATCATGACTTTTAGGTCGCTGCAATTAAACGTGAGCCTCGACACGGACTGCATTCTGCAGCAAATTGTGCTCTTCGTGCAGAATCTGGACATCGAAGTTTTGCAGAAGAATACGTTAAAATTTGCAGCTATCACGATATTAAACGTTGTCCTGCAGAAGCAGGCAGTTTTCGATGACAATACCAATGAGGAGATGATTATCGACGTCTCTCATAAGGCAATACATTCAATGACAAAAATTGTCAAATACGACGATGACGACGACACGATTTTACTCGCCGCTAATTCGCTATGCAGTACCTGCGCTAGCAGTTCTCGGTGGGATATTTTACTCGCCAATTAATTCTTCTCGATCTCGATATCAAAGCCATTTGCGTTACAAACATTTTCGTTTGGCAGATTCTGCTTCATGCAAGTTTCGAGGAAAGAGAGTGAGCCCGAGTTGCAGATTTGCGAGAAGAAAATTTGCGATTTGGAAATTTGCGTGTACGATAAGATGATGGAAATACTTATACCATACGTTAAAGTACGTTCCTTGAGGAAGTATAATATAATATAAATTTATCAACGCTACAGCCCTCGTATATGAATGAATGAAAGGAGCCACAAGTATCATTGTGTGATAAACGTACTTTTTTTTGGCAGGACGCAGACTTGTCTCGTCTTGACTCGGTCGGGTTTTACAGAAATCTCGTCTCCGCTCTGAACCACTTGTATCAGTTGAAAAACTGTGATAAGGACAGCTTGTCAAACCATTTGGCTGCGAATGGTTATTTGAAGCGCTTCGTATATTTAACCGTGGAGTTTCCGTAAGTTGCACCGTTTTTCACGCTGTATGGAGATCGATAGAATTACATATTCTATGTTATAATTAAATATATTTAATTATTTTCTTAATAAATACAAATAATAGAGGAAAATATTATGAGATAGGATTCTAATATGGGATAGCGGGGTTTCTGTTAAATTAATAGACGTCATCAGTTGATTCCACCATGAATTTATTGCCCTTGGAGCGAAATCTGTTTATTGAAAAATTCATTTGAAAAAAATTTGTGATTGAATTTAGGCGTTGAAAACCTGCTATCTCGTATTAGAAACCTATCTCACAATAGAGGACTTTCCCCTATACGATAAAAAAGAAAGCTCAGAGATACATTTAAAAATGTAAATATTTTATACATCTTTGCTTTCAGATGTCTTTCAAACTTTCGTGATTAAATATATTCTAAATTCATTAAGTTTTAATTTAACTTTTCAATACACTGATATTACTAAGAATTCCTTCATTATCTCTCTAGACAGAATTGTACTACTTTCAAATTAATTGTAATTGAATTTAATTTCACTTCTTCTACGTACCAGTTTTCAGAATTTAAATCTAAAAATAGATATGTAAAAATCTATTGTTCTCATTCACAGCGTTCTGAAAATATTTAGTGTAAATCCTCTCTAAGACCTGCAATATTACGGAATAAATTGCGTGTATTACATATTATTGCTGAAGCTTGAATCTCTTATTTCAAAGATGTATATCTAAACCACTGCACAACAGCGTACACAAATCGCGAAGCAACGTTTCATTGCAGGGAGAATTTACGAAGGAGCACCTGCATATTACTATCTCGGATCCTGAGTATTCTCGGTAGTGCTGCATTCTCCATAGAGACAGCGAAGTTAGAAAAGATTTTGTATCCACCTCTCCTTCAGTTGCCAAAAGATTTAACAAAATGGAGTCATTCCGTAGAATGCAAAAAAGATGGATCAGTGCTTATAGTTCTGCTATACTATCATTTTCTTAACACTCGAGAGTATGAAAAAACTATATATATATATATATATATATATATATACACTTTCCGTAGTATCGCTTGTTTCATTCAAATATTTTGATATCTATTTCACGTTTCAGGAACCTGGTAACCTTAGAAATGCTAACGACTAGAGTCATGATACTCCCAACATCTATACCGATTTCAATCCTGATTTTAAAACCTCTGTGGTTATTATTTGCTGTGAGTATATATTTATCCCGTGACTTGTTTGCGCTGTGCATTCATTGATTGCGTTCGATTTCGCAGGTAACGTCTCTATCTCATCCGAGTCCTAATACAGTTTATCAATATGAAAACGCGGTTAATCGACTGACAAGCATCTTACAACATTCAGAGATCAGGAAATTTTATACTCATGATACCGATCTTTTACATTATTGTTTCAATTGTCTGAACAATTCGGAAGACAATCTACTAAGCCGAATTTTTAATTTGTGGCTGATAGAGTCTGATGGTGATATCAACCCACTGTTATCCAAAGGTGACAAAATCCTTCGACATTTATGGGTAAGTGGAACGTCTATCTTTCAGTTTCAGTAAATTAAATTGTAACATTTGATGGCTTCAGTAAAAAGTATTTTATAATAATATGAGAATAAGTAATAATTTTTCTTTATTCGTAAATAGATCGCGATACGACATGAGTCCCAACCTATTGTCAATGTCGCTATGAAAGGTTTTCGTCATTTAGTGCAGGCCGTCAAAGATAACGAACGGCTCATGCATCAAATCGTGGGTCTTGTGTGGTGTATATTACCTGATATTTTTTCATCGTACCAACCGGATAATGGTTTGTCAAAATAATTCGATAAATCTTGCAAGAAAGATTAATATATTACTATTACGAGAGACAATTTAAGTTGCGTTATTGAATTTTTAGAAATATATTTGCACTTATTATTTATTTGAAATTAATATTATGATATCTAATATGGCAATTAAAGAGTCTCGTCAATTTGCATTTGCAGTCGCGCATATAGAGACGGCTCTGGAATTAGTTAATACCGTCCGACCATCCACGATACCGATACCGATACCTGGCATAACACGTAGCTCCGCTAATATAATCAATATTATATTACAGAAGAACTCAGATTTAAAATTCATGACTTTAATTATAGAGCAAGCGTATATGTTATTAGATGTCGCTATGTCATGCAAGTTATCTAAAGGTGAAGTACAAATTTTTGAATGAAAATAATCATTGCGGTGAAATTATATGTGTTATACGTTTTTATCATTCAAAACTACTTTCAAACAACTTCAATTACAGTGCTTGACACGTATGTGAACAATTTTCGGCTATTGACACAGCTATACGAGTATGGATTTTCGAAAAAGAGATCACAATTGTCCACTGCCAGTATAAAACTACTCGCATATATTATTTATTGTCAAAAAAAATTATCAGTAAAGGTATAATAATTGTAAATTTCATATGTGAATATTTATCTGAACGAAATTGTTGAATATTGTAAGACAAATTTTCTTTCACAGTGCAAAAGGCCATTGAAGGTATCAGTAAAAAATGTGTATGAACTGTTAAACGTATGCGCACACGTAGAAACATCACCGGACCACAAAGTAAACGAAATGCATTTTATACACAAACTCTTAATATCAAATAATGATGGCTCGGCCATTATTTTGAAAAATGTCAGGCCCGATAAAGATAACATCTACCTATGTAATCTTTATCTAGCTTTCTATTCCATTCGTGGACAGGTTAGTTACATTTAAAACTATAGGAATGAAGAAGCGTAACAATATCTTTTCTACCAAAAGATTTGTTATATTGTTTCGATAAAACGAATCAATTGTGACTAATTAATTGAAGAAACAATTTTGCACATTTAATTACTGCCTTTTTACAGAAATACATTGAAGATTTAGTATACCAAGGTTTAGTGATTCTATTACATTTTTGTAATACCAATGCAACTAAACTAATACCTTATTTTTGCACCATGATAAGTACTTATGATTTCATCCTTAACGTAAACATGCAACTTCCATCGAATCATTTTGTCAAATTCATCGCTACGTGGCTGCATTATTGTAAGACAAGATGCATGATCCCACTGTGGGATCCGCTGTTTGAAAGAGTATTGGATAAGCTTAAAGAATATTTAGTACTCCTTAATAATAACGGAATGAAAGACGCTCATCTGGAATTACAAAGCGCGGTAAGCAGACGTTTTAAAATAAATCCATACATTAAGATTAATATCTTAATTAATTCAGATTTTCCTTACAACTTTTCACTTTTTTGTTTTAGCTGTCGCAGTTTAAGTAAAGAAATAACAGTTTTACAGATCGTATCACGTTACATCACAATACATGTAGCGTATATTAAGGAGAAAGTTGTAAAACTGGATTTATGTCTAGAATATCAGATTTTCTGTTAAACGTTCTGCTAGACGTTCTCTAAAAATGTGTTTTATTTTGAAAAAAATTAAGTTGTATAAGTATAACAAATTTACAACAATATTAAAATACTGCTATTTCTCATCTGCTATACTTAAAAATTATTCGAATAACAGATACATTCAGATTAATTTCGTATTGTTTCAAAATGTTGTTTTTTTGCAATAAAAACAGTTCTTTCAGTTTGTTTATTTATTCTGTACAGTGTCATTATATCAATATTGTTGCAGTATCAGTAGAGGATACGTGCGTAGAAAAATAGAAAATTCTTTTCGAGTATTTAATTTCTCGTATTCTCGTACTTTCTCTGAAAGAGATTACATGATATCCACTTTTAACTTGTTTTTTATAATGTGTATTTTTATTTCCATTTTTACGCTACTACACGCATTCCATTATTCATGTCAGGCAGTCGTCATGCCACATCATCAGTTTAACCCTCCCGTGGTCTAAGTAAGAAGCTTAACACGATAAATTATTATTGCAGCGCGTGTACTTCGTCGCATGGCGATTATTTCGAAAAGTACAATGGCCAGTTCCTTAATTCGCCAATCGTTTATTTCGCGATCAAAAGCTTGTTCTCCTCGCGCCTCTTTTCGCGAGTGCTACTTTTACTTCCCCGATTGACCGTTTCGGCTGCACGAAGTAACCCTTGAAGACATTTAATCTCACGTCGATCTCGCCCTCCTTCAACCGAAACGTGTCGTATTTGTCATTCGTCATCGTCTGCGCGAGTGAAATATGTAGTATACCCAGGTATGTACCAGGTACATAGTGCGACGCAGTCCACGAACGCAATTAACGGAATTGGTATTCCGTATGTACCGCATCTGATCGAATAAATAGATCTCCTTGTGGCAGAATAGCGGCAAGCATTTCCAGTTGCATCAATGTTTTGGCAGCGCTATCGCTCCTGCATTTTGCAGGGACGTCTCTCCTCGCCCGCTGGAATTGTCCGAGGAGAAGCTCCTACGGCAGCATTTACCAATCATCGTAACGTACAGCGTTAACTTGAAGCCACTTCAGTTATTAGAAATTTGTAGATGAAAAGAAATTTAACAATAAGACGAAAAATAAATCGCCCTCGACTGCGCCACGCTATAAATGCTCAACTAAATAAACTGCAGCGCGTGCGTTAATTACTTTGTTACAAGATAAGCTTCGTGCTTAATTATTAATTTAATTAAATAACAGTAATTAGCGGATTCGCGTGTAAGGACAAACCTTGAAATAGCTCTCAACTGGCTACCTCAAAAATTGGAACGCCGAGCCGGATTAGCGTCAACGCCGCTGTCCTCAGCATCGTAAAGCTACCACCCCCGAGCGAGGGTGGTTCCCATAACCTGCGTCAACGTTCCACACTCGTATTACTCGTTAAGAAGAAATCCGATTAACCTATATGGCCAACTTACGTTCTTGGTGGTCTTCTCGCACGAATGTGGGAGCAATGTAATGGCCCTCGGCGAGGAATCCCGGTCCTTCCTGGCGGAAACGAGGATCGGATTGTACGCGAATATCACCCCGATGCCATGTTGAACCGGCGGTGATCGATCAATAGACGGGGATGGTGCGATGGCGCTCAATTTGTACTTCCTACCGGGTTTCTTCGTGGAAAGTAGGAAATTTTCAAACTTAGCGGGTCGTAAGAAACGACCATTGACTTGCGGGAATATTTAATTGAAACGTTTGTCCTTTATGCGACAAATAAGTAAATGCAAATTGACGTTGAAAGGATTCCTTCCTTTTTACACATTGTTGCGCGTCTGAGATAGATATTTTATTTACGTGTCGCTGCATAATTAATAGCGAATTCGGTTGCTTGCACTAGTGCGCACTGAGAGCAGTCAATTTTTATATTAAAGGATTCCTCTTCTATAAAATAAAGGCGATGTAGACCGAGAAGTGCGCGTTCGGAGTCGAAATCTATCGTTTCGTATTGTTGTCTCTTTTCCGCGATGCCGATTGGCCGTCTCGAAAGCTGTTGCGAGTTTCGCGGGCCGAAGTGTGTTGCGCGTTCGCGTAATGGCGCTGTGACAGATGGTGTGACGTGTGACCATAGAGATATAAGAATATTCTTATATCTCTGTGCGAGCGACAGTTTGAATTGTATCGCGCGAGGTCAATCATTCTTTCGTTTCGTTATTCAGAACTTAGACATGTGTTGGTAGAATCGTAATATGTTCGTGAATCTTTACACGTTCGTCACGGCATAATAGAAGTATATTAAGCAATTGATCCAACTACTGCGAAAAATCTGAAGGAAACGCCGTAGTCGCCGGCATGTGAAACTTCAGTTCATAACGTACAACTTAATGAAGTTTTCCTCGGAAAGCTTTTCTTCAAAAGAGCGGCTAAAAAACAAAAGACTCTAATGCAATTCGCGCGAGTGTAATAAAATTTGCACGGCTTAACAGCGGCAATATCTCTCCCGTTAAAAAACGTAAAGTAACGAGACTCACGTTTACAATTAACTCCGTTAACAGATTGAGCTAAGATCAAATTTCCATCGTGACATATTATTATGGTTTCGCAAAAGGATTACGAGGATAAATTTAATTTCTCGAAGGATAAATTCCTCGTGATTCGATAATTGTGTCTCGAGCGAAGAAATGCAACAGACGCGAAATGACCGACAGATCGACGGCGTTCCCCTAAAGGGGAAAAATCCAACAAAAAGAAACGTAACATTTATTAATAATTAACATATGGTCGAGTCTTTCATGAGGCACGAACGTTTCTACGCCGGCCAGAACGGGCTCGAGCGGATATTTTGGAAATCAAACGCGATCCTAAAAGTATCGCTGGTCGCTTTGACAATCGGATATCAGGGGAGAAAGATGGAAAGCCTGCGTGTGAAGCACGAGTTGGTGTCAATTTGTTCGTCGCGATCATCGACGCGCTGGACATCCAGCTTTTGCTCCAAAGTGACACGCTTTTCGCGGACATTCGCAACAGTTAACCCGAAACTTGGCGGTGTATCCTGTAACATATACGTTTCACAAGCGGTTTTCGGCGTGCCTGCGACCGTAGCTTCGCGTTTACAATTAAAATGCGTTTTAAAATTGTGAAGAGTTGCATAAATGACAGTTAACTTCCACCGAGTAATTACCATAACTGTCTTCCGGCTTATATGTTTTTCCGCTTCGCATCCAATTTTCGCTGTAATGTAATTTCATGCGCGTTTCTCTCCGGCGTTTAAGTTTAGAGCAGTAGATTTCTTATAAGATTTAATTACGGCGTTTAAACAGACAAGCGCAACGTCTCCCTGAATCCTTTCTTACGAGGCAAACCCGTTATCTTTTCCCACCGAGTATTTCATTTATTCACGTCGATGCAACGGCAAGATGGCAAGATTTTAGAATGAGTCGGTGCGCGGATCCGTTAGATAACTGGTATAAAGGCCAGCTCAAAGTTGTTTGACGTGAACGTAAGACCCGTGTTTATAACGTTTCTGCCGGGAAACGCAGCTAAGATCCGTCTTAAGATATGATACGTCTCGATAAGCGGATATTGAGAATCAGCATGACGTTAATACGCTGACATCAATTTGGAAAGAAACACACATCAAGCGGGTGTCGTACACATGTATTAATATCAATTATCCTTGCTTTAATCGGGATCGAAAATTAAATTGCACAAATGAATATAATTAAACCTCCCCGATAAGTAATCTCAATTACGCGGCGATAAAAGATAATGATTGAACCGTGCTCGCGGCTCGAAATACCGACCTACATTCTAAGTATCTCATCCGATACGTCCTTGGGGCGAGATTCAAAAGTAATAGGAGGCTATAAAAATACTTGTAAGTTAAGACTACAAGAATACGGAGGTAAATCGGCTTTCGTTCGCGCGCGCGAAACCGCGGCGTGAATTATTGCACGCTCATTTCTTTTTTCTTGCCCCCCCCCCCAGCGATCATGACACGGAATCGACTCGTAATCCGTAATGCGCTCTGCTGAAGTGAAAATCGCGCCGCGCTCGAATCGGGATAGCCGATTTGCGACGATTACGATCTGCGAATCGGTCGTCCGGCGAACCGCGGTCTCGCGCCGGAACGGATCGGCGCGAGTAACACTGTAAAGCCGATGCTTAATTATTTTGCAGCGCAATCGCGCACTTTGGCGCGCGAAACGGTGATTATGACGGCCGGTTACGGGGAGCAACGGCCCGTGGAATACGGCGGCCGGTTATATGCCCTTTCCCTTCTACAGGCCCCGTTTCACGCGTGCCACGATCGTGAACCGGTCGTCTTGAGGCGGAAACGAAAATGAACGCGTTTTACCGGATAATCGCGTGCCACGGTGCGTTGCCCAATGAAACGAGAACGGCGGATGAAATCCGATGAGAGATACGCTACGTTAGTTCTAGCATTGCGGCTAATAAATGGCGGCAATAGAATGCACTCGTATAAAGACATCGCGGCAGTTTGACGTCGGCAATTCGTACAATTTTCTCCGGGCAGCAGCCTGCGCGGGTCTTAAATGATGCGTTCACTAATAGAAATCGCGACGAGGGGAGGAGGAACATTACGGAAACTGTTAAGTATCGCGCGAGTCTTTATAAGTCTCATTACGCTCGTCGGCAATTGGTGGCCCGACGGTAAAGATAATTCCACGTATCGGGAGCAAAAATCGCGGAGAAAGCCAACTTCTCGAAATAACGTTATATTTATTTCGTAAAACAAAAAGTACGGGAGGGAAATACACTCCCGTCTTTTATTTTCGGCATCGCGAACGCAGCCAACCGCATCGACCCAGTGCCGCTCTTCCTGCTCTTCCCAATACCATTGATCTTATCAGCGAACCTTTCTGCGGGGAAAAAATCAGTTGCACCGCATTCGCGGTGTGTTCCCTCCCTCGCAATTTTTCCATTTGTAAATAAAGTTTCGGACGTCGCCGGTTCCTCCGGAGCAGAGCGGAAAGACAAACCCGCCCGGCTGCGCTCGAGAGGCGGGGAAAGGTCGCGGGGCATCGTGAAAACGCAGAGGCGCTGCCCAGGTTCGCAAGTCGATGATCAAATCGATATCAAGATTTTTCGGACCGTTTGATTTGATGACTAGATTCTTCCTTGATCCTCGCAATCGCTTTGTCGATCTTATCGACGTATACGCAGGGTTGGCGAAGTTACTTTATAAAAGTGTCTATGTTACAGCTACAAGTTACCAATTCTGAGAAGTATTACGCGTTACAGCTACTCGAAAAGTAACGAATCGTTACTTTGCAGTTACCTTTTTGCATTAAAAATAAAAATATCAAATCTGCATTTGAATTGTGAAGCGTCGATAAAGGCGTTTGTGCGCAAATGCAGGGCCTAATGCGATCTGTGGAGATTGAAACAATGTATAAAGTAACTCTTAGGGCGAGTTTCACAAACGTCGTTTGTTAACTGCTGAAGGCTAATTGATTCTCCGTCTCTTCTTAGGTAATAAGATAGAAAAAGATAGGGAGTTGACTGAACTCTGGTTAACTTTAATGTAATTTTAAATTAGTTACCAGTTATCGAAAAAATGTAACTGAGTTAAGTTACAGTTAGAGTTACCCAAAAAAAAAAGTAACTGCAACTGTAACTTCGCTACAAGCAACGAGTTACTTCCCAACTCTGCGTATATGTAACATATCAATTTGATGTGTAGAAGATATCGTATCGGTGTCGGCCAATTATCGATGATTCAGTTGATATCTAGTAGATATCTTATTCGAGTCGATTCGATAAATGAAGATATTGATGCGACTTCAATGCGGTATCAATTGAAATATGACTATATCGTAGACATCTACAGAATATTTTCCAGATATCGAAACGAAATCATCTAAATAGCAACCCGACTGCCGATTCGCACATGACCTCAACTTGAATTCAATGCGATGTTCACCGGACTCTTCAATCCACTTGTGAACCCGAGATGACGTCCCCCTGGCCCCGGGGGTACGGCACAATCATACACCCTCCCCTCCACCGTGCAAAAGGGAGCAAGGAGGCAGATATGTCGATTATAGCACGGACAAGTTTTGCGAAACGTACGTAACGGCACGGACTACTTTTCCACCACACAAGCGCGCGCGTACGTGTTCGCGCGCATTCGCATTCCGAACTTTCTTAAGCAATTATGTCATAACACACGCTGCCCCCCTTTTCGCATCTCTACCTCGCGGTCTATGCAATCTGTCCTTCCTCCCTGCCCCACGACACGTCCGTCCTCTCGCCCGCGGGACGAGATCGCGGACGCTTCGCCGGCTATCGAGCGTCGTCACTCGGCCAAGAATCGAATTTCACGCTAATGATTATAAAGTGCCTGCCATTTGCGGCCGCATGCGCGACGTCCAGGACGAGAGGCGCCGCTTTTGCGTTGTTACTCTTTTTAGGAGAAACGCGCAAATCGCGAGATGTTCTTAAGTCGAGGTAC